CTCTCTCTCTCTCTCTATATATATATATATATATATATATATATGTGAGTTTCTTTATTTATTTGATGGTCTTTGGATGAGTTAAGATAGAAAGTTGATGAAAAGTTCTTTTGTAGTTATCTTGGGTTCAAACAAAGATAGAGAGACAAAGAAGAATATGTCTTCATAATTATTATCTGATAATCGTTGTTATTTTAAAGACTTCATCTCTTTATGTTTAAAAGTTGAATTTTATTTTTAAAAACATCATTTTATTTGTTTTTGGTGAAGAAACCGTATGATGTAATACTTGGGATTTTGAATATGTTATATGCTATTTATAGCATAGTTTAGTATTTTGATATGCTATTATCAACTGGTTGGAATAAATGTGATATAATCAGGAAATGTGTATTTTGGGATAAGGGTGACATAATCAGGAGAGACGTATACTGATATAAGGGTGGCATAAGCAGGAGAGACGTATACTGAGATAAGAGTGGAAAAATCAATTGTATGTAAAAACGGGATTTTGATCATGTGGAAACTATTATCACATCTTCATGATGTAACGAGTTTGGTTTATCGCATCATGTGTGATGCGACAAAATTAAGTAATCGCATCAATATGATGCGAGCAAGCATATTATCGCATCTATATGATGCACCAAGTTGATGAGTATGATGTGATAAAAATGTGATCACATCAATGGGATGCGACGAATTGGTATGTTTTATGTTTGTTGCGATAACTATTGTACTTCAATGGATTTGATACGATAAGATGATGTTGTATCATCTATATGATGCGACGAAGAGGTTTGTTTCAACAAAACATTGTTTATTTGTTATTAATACAAATATGAACTCCTAAAAGTGTTTAGGTGATTTTCATTATGTAATTACAATCAAAAGGGATTTCTAACTAGAATTTTTGGTCTAACCCTCATTTTGTTTTAAAAATATGCATCACTGGTCGGACACATATGGATAGTAATGGGAAGAGAAAGATATGAAGTTATGATTGCTATTCATATGTGAATTTTGGGAAGTTGTTGTTATGCATGTATTTAAGAACTTGTTATATCTGCAATCATGTACTTGGTGTAATTAAAAAATTTGTAGCTACTTTTGTATGTAACATTTTGTATATATTGGAACCAGTGTGTATATTTATATTTCATGTTAAATGGATTATGTGGTTTTATGCAAATATGGATTTAAGGTGCTACATTTTCCTTTATTTAAATTCAATACAAGTGGTTTCTATAAATATCTCATTCACTAAAATAAATAATTAATAATAAAAATTAACTTTTGGATTACACAATTTCAAGTTTTTTAAAATAATTACGTTAAGACTCTAATACTAATGTGTATATTTACTTTAATAATATATATATATATATATATATATAGTAAAATAGAGAAGGTTTACTTTGCAAACCATCTATTTCATACAAACCTTACAAACTAATCACATTTATCCATTTTTTTTTATATGAAAGACCAAGATTTAAACAAACTAATAAAGTAAAGTAAGTAAAAAAGAAAAAGAAAAAAAATCATATTGGAGACATGGAAGGGCAAAACGGGGAAAAACATGTTTTATGAACCTGTTTCATTACAGTTGTTATACATATTAACGTGATACAATCATATATGACCTATGAACTTATTTCATTACAGCTGTTATACATATGAACCTCATGGAAATTTATATTATTATGTTTCATTGAACAGTTTGAGTCCGTTTCATTGAAAATTAGTGGCGATTTTTTTAAACAAAATTATTCTACATTTTTTAAAATATGGCGAATTTTTTCAAAAAATTTAATAGATATCTCAATTAAATCTTTGTTGATATTGTGCTAATCAATATATAATCCACATTTATATAAATGTTATGTTGTTACTAAACTTATCTATTAATATTAAATAATTATCAAACATAACTATTGTAAATTCAAATGATCATATTACTCTTATAAATTAAAAAAAAACAAATGGATTTATGTGATTAGTTGTAATTAGTTTATAAAGTTTGTATAAATTGGGATGATTTGTATTTGATCGCTCATCTAGTAAAAATATACATATATATATATATATACCAATAATATATATATAGAAGTGATGTTCATTTGTACAACCAATGCAACCCAATTAATTGGGATATTTATAGAAATGATGAGAGTTTATTTATTATGATTTTAATATTTATGAAATATGAATAAGATTCATTAATTATGATAAATATTTTATATTAGGAAATAATTAAATCAGGGTGGTTTTCATTTAATCCCTCATCTATAACTTAATATATATATATATATATATATATAAAATAGTAATATGTAATATATTACTAGAAGCGTACTCGCGCAATGCAGCGAGATACATTGTGTTTTTAATATTTTATTTTATTTTTTATCTCAGCTGATGTTATAATATGTCTTTATGTGATTTTGAGAAAGCGATGATGTTTTTATTTTTGAATAAAATATATGTTTGAAGATTTCATAAAAATTTGACAAAAATATAT